TTCCTTCTAATTTAAGTTTCCCTCCAGTGGGGTCATGGAATCAGGAAGTCTCCCTTCAGTGGGGTCATGGAAACAGGAAGTCTCCCTTCAGTGGGAAACAGGAAATCTCCCCCTAGTGGGGTCACAGAGACAGGAAGTCTCCCTCCAGTGGTGTCACAAACAGGAAGTCTCCCTCCAATGGGGTCACAGGGACAGGAAGTGTTGGGTCACTAAGGACTGTTCATGGTGGCAGCAGTTGTGGTAACTAAACATTTGCTGGGTAACTAAGCATGGGTTTGCATGTATGGTGCCACAGTATAAATTGGCAGGGTCATCTTGACTTGTAGTCTACAGTAGCTGTAGAGGCAGCTGTGCTACGTTGTAATCACTTATACATTTTTTTTTTTATATTCCAATGGTTTTTATAATTTTTTTTTAAACATTATAAACAGAGGCAATAATACTTGCCCACACAGGGGCTATCAATTGCACAGAAAAAAAAATGCAAAATAAATGAAAACAGTGCTCTAACACCAACAGGGCAAAAGGTACGCCCACGCAGGGGCTATCAATGGCACATAAGGAACAAAACATTAATGCAACTGACTCTGACAACTAAAGGCAGCTGTCCAGTAACACCAAAAACAGAGAGAGAGAAAGGGGGGGGAAAAAAAGAAAAAAAAAAAAAAAAAGGAGGGAGGGGGCAAAAAGCAGGGGTCCAAGAGCGCCAATATCGAACGCCATTACATCCCCAGGCTAGCCGGGGGGAGTGTGGGAAAGGCATATTGCAACCACAGCTCCCATATTTTCAAAAATTTACGGTGGGAGTCGTTGCGGATACTCGACATCTGCTCGTTGAGCATCATAGTAGTCATACGATCCCGCACCCCCTGAAGAGAGACAAACGGACTCTTCCAGGCCTGAGCAATTGTTCTAGTGGCGGATAAAAACAAATAAGAAGCCAACTTCTGCTGGTGAGCCAAGAGGCCCGGTATGGGGCAATGAAGCAAGACATACGGGCATCCCGGCGTATGGAGAGATGGAACAAGGTGAAAAGGAGGCCAAACACACAAGACCAAAAACGAAACCGTCTCGGGCAGAAGTGCAAGACATCTCGTAATCACTTATAAATTTTAATGCAGTTCTTCTCCATATTTTACTCCACAACTACCACTAAACTAATTTTCAGGTCTCAGGGTAACCCTTACTAAAACCAATTCATTGGGACTCAGTAGGAACAATGTCCCCCTTATATTGGTGGCCAGTAAAAGGAAGACCACCTTATGTCAGTAGTAAGTGGGAAGAATGTCCCCCTTACACTGGTGGTCAGTGGGAAGAATGTCAATGTTCCACCATCACTGCACCCTCCCTGCACACGTTCCACTATTACTACACTATCAGCACACATGCTCCATTGATGTATCCCTCTGCACACATGTTCCATCCCTGTACCCCCTCTGCACATGTTCCATCACTGTACTCTCTCTGCATACATGTTCCATCCGTGTATCCTTCTGCACACATGTTCCATTGCTGTACTCTCTCTGCACACATTCCATCACCCTTTTGCTGCTAGGAAGGAAGCTGAGCCTGTGGCTAACCATTACTCCTCAATTGCCAGACAGTTAAGTTAAGCAGCGGATGCTTTCAGTATTACAATGTAAAGGCATCTAGCAACTGAGGGGTTAACTGTTAGCCACAGGCTCAGCTCCCTCCCCAGCAGCTATGGGGTTAAGTCTGTGTAGCAGCTCAGCTCCCTCCCTGTTCTCCTCTGCTTACACAGAGCGGCCATAAAATCCCTCATCTCTCCCTGTGCGTGTCAGGAATCAGCACAGTCAATAGTGATGACTGATGTCTGTCTCCCTGCTAGGCTGTCAGTGCCTTCTGAATCCCCAGTGAAATCCTTTATCCCAGCCTGCCTGTGTTGTTGTCAGGCATGTATGGAGTTAAATGCTTTCAGCTCCAAGCTTGCTGACAGCTGTTACTATTGGATGGGAGGAGGGGCACACTGCCTCTGAGTGGTTCAGACTGGGAGTCTCAGACTGGTCCGCCCACTACAGCCAGAAGGAATCGCATCACTGCTTACTGACATGAGAACTACAGGAGGGATGTGCCAAGACCAGTGGCTGGGGGAATGCAAGGCACAGCAACCACCAGTCTTAAAGACAGGAAGACACAGGGGATTAACTCCAGGATTTAAAAAATGCACATGCTATTTCTCAGAAACTACAAAGTCAACCAGAAGACCGACTGCATATTCTATGACAGTAGGAAAGCAGCAATAAAAACTATGTAAAAATGTTTTTGCCCGGAGTTCTGCTTTAAAGACAGCTAAAAATGATATTTTCACAAAAGCCATTTTCTCTATTTAACATAATAAAGACATGTGCCAGGTAATTTAAATGAATTTTCACAAATTATTTGTTTTTGACCCTACAATAGATTTTTATTAAATGCAGTTTTACAGTTGACCACTAGATGTAGCTACTTCATCATAGCTTAAAAGTAGTTTTTAAAACAATTTGGAATGCTTTTGCTCTTCTCCATGGATATCTCTGGAATGCTTTTGCTCTTCTCTATGGATATCTCCCGGAATGCTTTTGCTCTTCTCTATGGATATCTCTGGAATGCTATTGGTCTTCTTTATGAATTTCTCTTGGATCACTGCTTTATGGCCTGTACTGTTATTGTGCCTGTATTACTCTACTCCATTTTTAGATGTTTAATTCTGCCATACCCTACAATTGTAAAAAAAAAAACCAAAACACGTACTTCACTTAAAATGAGGAATTTATTAAATCAGTCTTTTTTTTTTTTTTTTTTTTTAACAGCAGTTACATAAGTTACACAGAATGTTTAAAGTTTCCACGTGTATTTTCATTACTTTAGAATACAGGCAAAATAGTACCGACAACATGTACATAAAAATACCTCAGCATTCAAATAAGGCCATTATTTAAAAAAAACAAAACGATAGCTAATATTTTTTCCTTTCTTTTTTTTTATTTTTTTCTTTTTTTTTTTTATTTTAATCTTAAAGGTGTTTTTCACTGTGAATATGACCTTACACTTGAAGGTTCTTATACATCAATGATTTTAATGCAAGTATCTGCCTTTTGGCAAACAACATAATTACAAAATATCATATCCTGCATCAAACTAATGTACAAAATGCCTGAAAAGTGACAGGTCGATTTTAAATAAAAGGTAAACCCCAGCCTCCGAGTGATCCAACCTTCGGCTGTGCAATTCAGATATTAATTTTCTGTGAGTGCCCTCATACCTGCTAGGGTGGGCACTGATAGCTGTGGCATTATGGGACGTAAATGTCCTCTTGTTACTTTTAAACAGAGTACTGATAGGAGCACCCACTCAAATAAATACACTGTGGCATCTAAGCAGATTTACTTTAAATTTGAAGCTGAAAACATTTAAAGTAAACCTGCCATGCATAGGAAAGGTGGCCACATTGTAAGCTGCCAGAATGCCTGTTAAAATGAAACACTTTCAAGTCTATCTAAACCAGTACTTCAGTTCTGGATGGGCAACAACTGGGTGAAACACCGACTTGATTCTTCTATCTCTTGGGGCAAATTTTCTGCACCGAACTCCCTGCCTTGAATACTATTAAGAGGTCATGCATGGATTCTATATTTTAAGGAGTCTCTAAACCCAAAAAGTCCTAAAAAAAAAAAATATATAGTCCTTAGAGGTGGTGAAATTATTTTTTTTCCTTTATTATCAAATGTTGATTGTGCCAGTAATACACTTACTATCCTAGTATGAAAACATGCACTCATTCTACTGTCTAAGGACAACAGAAACAGGTTAAGACTCCAGCAGGCCATACATATGTGATTCGTGGTTGCAGGGAAAAAATTGCTTGATTCTCCCATCAACACAGTCAGAGCAGGAAGCCATTCCTGCCGGGAGAACACAGTGATTACTGCTAACAGCTATAGCCTCAGGCAATAATCACATGGTAAAAATCTGGCATGTTGGTTGTACCCAAGTCGTTTAATGGATTGACTTGGGTACAATCAGCCTGCCCATATATGGATTGAATCTTGGCTGGTCCCTTCTGAACTGGTCGAGATTCGATGCATCTATGGCTGGCTTTATGGGAATTCCACCTGTCCTCAGAATATTTTTAACTGATAACAGAAAGCACAGAAAGTTATCAGCTGACAACATTTCTGGCCGAATCAACAGGAATTGTTTGGACATATCAAATTAGTTTAGCAAAACACTTTCAATGATATAATTAATAAACCATACCGGAGTAGATAACGGACGTTCACTGTTAGGGTTTACATACCCTTTAATTTACCTTCACATTACAGACAATGCAGCAGGATAAGTAAGATTTATGTTATAGCTTTTCACTAGAACACAGCGTGGTAGACCAGCAGGTATATTTAGTTATGTTCAGAAGACATAAATAAGACGTCAGTAGGCACAACCCAATGGTGTCCACCCAAAATATTTCATAGCAAAATGGCTGCCTTTGTTCTATGCATGTATCAGTTGCACTTCTTGTGTCAGTGTACAGACCTAGCTATGAGCAATAATCTTCAGAGTCAGGTTTAATTCTATGAAAACAGCAAATAAAAAAAAATAAAATAAGGCCTACAGTAAATACAGTTGCCTTTGGAATTTCACTTTTCAGTCGCCTTCATTAACTTAAAATTCACAAAGTGCACAAAGTATACTTAAAGAAAAAAAAAAAATCTTTCACTTTCTATTCTACATCTTGACAGCTGCCCAGTCGTAATACTTAGTGGTCTATTGGAACAATGCTTCCATCTCCTTATAAAAGATTGGTAAAAAGGTCACTCTAAAATGTCAGAGTTACTAACCTTGCTGTAAACTAAAAGTAGAAAAAAAAAAGTTTCTTTTTTTTCTGATGGCGTAAGTTAATAAAGATACAAAACACTAGAAATGACCAAACTTTTTCAAAGAACAAGCACCACAATTGACATCAGCATTCCAGTTTGTAGTGTTTAACTATGTAACATGTTTCACTCCCAATCTACTTCATCAAACTCCGAATCATCTTCTGAGTCACTGTATTCCACAGCGATTCGCCGAGACAAGATGGTAGCCACATCATTCTCAATGCGCTCATGCTTGGCTTCTTGTTCACGCTGTTCTTCAACTTTACGAAGTTGAATACCTGGGAAAAAAAGCACAATCTTAGTGAGAATCTAAATTTTCTCAAAAACAGTTCACATGAACCCCAAACTTCACAAAATCTTGCAAATTCACAAATTAGAAAGATGAATTCCCCTTTCTAAGGATACATTGCTATCATTAACATGTATAGGCAATTTTTATTTAGATTTGGATGAAGCTGGGAAGGGTTTAAACTCCTGTTAGTTTTTGTTTGCACTGTGTTTTTATTGAAAGAATTACATTTTTCTGTCTCAGTGATAATTGTTTCCAGGACAAAAAGAGACAGAGAATCATAGACAACAGTTGACAGAGCATCTAATCCATCCCTACTCTATCAAAAACTAAGAATTTTGGTTATGAATGTACTTTAAGAACATGTTTTCTCTGCAAACCAATGTTGGATGACTTAAAACAATGTGAAACCGCACTATTGGGCAGAAAGAATAAATAAGCTGCTAGCACATCATTAGATTAGTTTTAACAGAAATCAAACCAGTGCTGTGCTAATAAAAAACAAATGTAACCCCAAAATGATCATAGCGTCATGAAAAAAACCAATGAGTATAACCAAATCAACCGAACAAGAATTTTTAAAAATTCTAAATAATATCCACACTGTACAAATCAATATGGGTTAATGACTGTGGGTAATGAACCAGACCCTGCCATACAGAAAACAGGCCATGGGATGGGGAAATAAACTGGCAGGGGTTATATTCCCAATCTCCCACTCCATCCAAACTGAAAATAAAACAGTTTGCATTAGTTCTACTTTAACTTTTTTTTTTTTTTTTTACCAACAGGGTTGTTTTACCAACATCATATACAGACAGTGGTAGGCCTTCAGGGCCAGCAAGGTCTTCTCTGCTGGCCCAAACACTGCCTAAACTATCGGAATCACTGACTTTTTAATATATTTTTTCCATGAATGTGTATTAAATTATTACCAATAGTCTATTCTATTCATTTCATAGCTTCTCTTGGTTGCACTGATGCCAGTAGTGTATGTTTTATGTTAGAGCTTTTATCCAATATTATATATTTCAGCCATGATAGCCATCATGTATTGCCAGGGTCAAAGAAATGTGCCTTGAGGCCTTCAGAATCAACAGTGTAGGGGCCTGTGGCTTACAGTAAATGAGAATAAACTGTTGCTTTAACTAATCAGGTTTTGAGTTGGCAACACCGGGGCCATCCAGCAGGCGTACAATAACTTTCCAGAAGGGATCCCTAGACACTGACACTCTCCTACACCTCCAACTACTAGGGAATGGGTGGTGGAGCTTAATTATGCCATGAGAATGGAGGAGATGGTAACCTCCATACAGGAACATTATCAGAAATTTTGGGATCTTAGTTTGCATAGATAGATCTTGCAGCTTCCCCTAAATTGCAACCCTTCTTGTGTGCCTTTCCGGTAGCCTTTCCTCTCTTTTCCTGGTATTTTCTCTTTCTTCTTTTTCTTTTCTGTTCCTCTTAACTGTTGCTTATCCCTGCTTTAGCTCTCTTTTTCTACCTTTCCCTGTCCACACAGTGCAAGATTGATGCACGGTTTAGTGACAGTATCATTATGGAGTTCACACACTATTGTCAGTATTGAATATGCCGCCATGATAGAATGGTATGGAACTGTAGGCACCAAAGTACTTGGCAGGGTGTTCGGATTTTCTGACGCTATAATACTTGATGTAATAGGAGTGTAAACCTTGACTGGCTGTTTTCTTTACGTTCTGTAATCCCTTTTGGATGGTTTTGCCTGTGAACAGACTTAAATGGTCTTGTACACCTATGCCAGAAGGCCTCAAGGCCTCTTTGACACTAGCAACACATGATTGCTATCATGGCTTAAATACGATTGGATAAAAAGCTCTAACATAAAACATACACAAAAAACTATGAAATGGAAAAGAGACTATTGGGAATAATTTAATACACATTCATGGAAAAAAATGTATTAAAACTTAAGTATACAACTGGACAGGCTTGACTTTCAGCATTAGCTTCCATGGCAATAGAAAAGAACTTACTGTTGGAACTGAAATGCACAGATAACCTTTCAAGAAAGTAGTTACATTTTTTTTGAAGAAAAAAAAGGAGGATGGATTTTGTGTACAAATAACCAGTAGTTTGGGTGAGTATAATGCATTTTATTTACTTTTCTTTATACAGTCAACCCTGGCTAATCCAGGCTCTGCTTTTTCTGTGCTGAATTTTTAAGGCTACAGACAAAAATTGCTGGGATTAGTTCAGGTAGGACATCACTAAAGAACTAGGTGTGAAATGCATGGCCCACCACTTCATATGGATCATAAGGTCACATCCCTTGATCTGCAGATGTATGTAAAAGCATAAACAGAATGTAAAAGAAATGTTACATTGGTAACACAGTTCAGAGGCCCTGTTTTTCACAGCAGCAACTTCAGCTCCTTTAAAACCCTGATGTAACACACAGCAAGTAACTGCCAGCAAGAGCAGCAGGGAGTGCGGCAGCAGTAGGAGAGGGAAAGGCCATGCTATGTACATCTTATGTATGGAGGGTTTTCTTGGGTGTCTGGGGCACATCTAGGGTCCGCAAGAGGTTAAAGACTGAATGACTGATAGCACCAATTGGTCTGGGGACCAGATGTGCACACAGTCTGTTGGCTGAAGACTATTACCCCTACTCTAAAATTATTTATTCTGCATCAGAAATGGTTATGATTTTCTTATAATTCTGTTCTATGTTTTTTAACTATAACATAGTAAAATAAACACCCAAGTTTCTCCATTTTAAAATATACTAGCAAACCATAAGTAGGGAAAACTATAAACATGCAAACATAGTTCTAACCTTTTCGTATTGCTTCCAGTAGAACACTTCTTGCGTCACTGATTACTGGTAGAGTAGATGGATGTCGCTTGGAATCAGGAGCAACTTGTGATGGTGGGGATGGAGGAAGCAAAGGAGCATGGGAGCCAGGTACAATAGATGCAAGAGGATGTAAACCTGCAGGGGGGTGAGAGAGTGGTGGGACTGCAACAGGGGAAGAAGGACGCATTCCAGGAGGAGGTAAAGGTGGTGGAGGAGGTGGTGGTGGAAGCCCCTGTGCTTCAGTTTGTGGAAGTGGATGTACTGGCACCGCTTCACCTGCTTGAGCAGAACGTGATGATGGAGGGGAAGGCTGTACAAGAGGAGGGGCTATAGGAGGTGGTGCTGGGTGGAGTACTCCAGGTGCGATCTGAAGAGGAGTTGGAGGTGGTGGAACAGCAGTATTCTGTAAGCTAGTTGCAGGAGGTGGGGGTGGTGGAGGAATAGGAGGCGGAGGAGTGGAGGATATAGAGGAGCGCAGTGAAGATGCAGAAAGTGCAGATGGAAGAGGTGGAGGAGGAGGAGGAGGAAGAGGTGGTGGTGGTGGAGGAGAAGGGCTCACAAACACTTGCGTTCTTCCAGTGGCTGGAGACTGTGGCCTGTTTTCATTCAAACCTTGTGTGGCACTAGAAAAGGTAAGACAAAGCACTAGTAATGGAGCCATTCAAAAAAGTTTGAGATAAAAATTAGTACACCAAGATCACTGCAAGCATCACAAATATTTATTACTACTACATAAAAAAAATAAAATAAAATGGAAAAGCTGGTTTTTGTAACCAATCTAACATGCCCTCAGACACAAAAAGTAGACTATTACAATTTCTCAGTCTGGACTGAGGTGATTACATGACAATATTTACAGAAATTCCTTTCTGATTATGAATTATATTTAGTCAAACAACACACATGTAAGTCAGTTTTCATATAATGTCCACACTTCATTTACTACAGTAGGTATGGCAAAAATTATTTTAAAAAAGGAAAAGAAAAACCAATGAAGACTGCAATCTGTAATGTGAAGCCTGCAAAACCTTTTAGCGTTATTTTGTAAAATTCTAAACCACTATTTTTTATGATACAAAAAAAACATGATACAAAAAAGGTTAGAAAATTGGACCTTGTACCATTGCGGTACCCACATCATACCATCCTCAGCTCAATATCTAGTAGCAACTACACAGACTTGTCCTGTTGAATGGATCGACATTACAGTAGAAACATAGCTGAATGTGACTAGCTACTTTTAGATTCTTTCTATATAGTTTTGTGACAGATCTAGGCAGGCTACAACCCTTAGATGGCAGAAAGCTGTGCATGCACAACCCTGGCTGCTGAACAATCTTTATAACTTTCTCATGAGGTGGGCTGATCAACTTTCTCTTAGGGAAGCCAGACCAGAGGTTGAGGAAGATCTCAAATATATAAATATTCCTACATCCAACTGTAACCAATCAGATTGCTCGAGAGAAGAATGGTTTCTCCAGGTGGAGACACTATAAATGCAGTTGCTTTGCCTATATTATTTTTTGTCACTACCCAGTACAATAAAGCCATTTGAGAACTTTCAAATCCAGGGTCAACTCATCTCTACAAGGTCTACATTGGAAGACTCCCTAATGCTTGAACATTAAACAGTGCCATGATATCTCATCTGTGTACAGTGCTCCTTCTCTTTATACCACCTTCAGTACACTAACAAATCTAGGTTCCCCACTCAACTAGGTTTCATTACAGCAGGTTCTTGCACACACTATATACAGGAGCTAGATAAAAATGTATGCCATTAAAAAAAAAAAAAAAAACAGTCAGTAGACTCAATAAATCTAGCTCAATGATGGGATATGTGCTGGGCATGAAATAAATTGTGTTTTATTGAGAGATTAATACACTAAAAACATTAATAAAAATGCCCACCTGATAACTGGCATGGCTTTTCCATCTCCGGCAGCATGCATTGGTGGAGGAGGTGGTGGTTCATGAGGCCTTACCAAAACCCTTTCTTCACCCTGAACCCTGTTCAGGAGATCATTCATCTGACTGTAAGGTAGTGCTGCAAGCGAGAAGTTTCCATCTGCATTTTCTCCATAGGCTTGTGGCCTAGTAAAAAAAATGTGAAGTTAGCATGTAGCAAGAAAAATAGGGTTTACCTATATCTATATACTCTTCAAAAACTGAGGTAGCTTTAACAATTTATGCATACTTGATAGGAAGTTTTATGCAAACATTTTGTGTGCAGATAAGCACATACATACCATAACTGAAAAGCCATGCCAACAAGACTAGACTATTATCTAGTAGCCTGAATCATCTAAAGAATTCTGATCTCTTTGCCATTGTTCTGGTCTAGGTGTTCTTTAAGCTCTCCAAATAAGTTACAATCTGATTGTATGATCTGCTTTAGAGCTGACAGAAAGAATGTAGTCCAAGGGTCTGCCTTACTGGAAACAAACTGATTTACACATACTTAAGAATTCTAAAGCTGTTTGTACAAAGATTTTCTGGTCAGACTATGACCAGTGACCTTTTCATCTTGGGGCATTCCTACTCCATTGGTTGCATGCTCCACAAAAGCAAATATATTAAAGATCCAACGAGGGAGTGTCCTCATAATTGATGCAGTAAAAATGCAGGTTTGGGAAATGGGGATCAGAAATCTCATCACAAGTCTCAAAAAGTATATGAAACTAGTAGGTCTTTTAACTCTTCAGCATCTACCAAAGTCTATAAACTAAGCTTTAACACATCCTAAGATTGTAATGTATAAGAGAATACAATGCAGACAAACCTTGTTTCAAAATGTGATGCTGGTCCATTAACTATTTCAATATGTTTCTGTCCAAGGTCTATATCATCTTCGGCCAGCTCAGCACCCAGAGCTAACTTCTGCCACTGACGACGTCTGTCATGTGGAGCTCGAGGCACTTTCTCTGGTTCATGTGGACGATCAATATTCTTTTGCTACAAAGGAAGTTACAAAAATATTAAGGTATAGACATGCAAATAGCAGCATTAGCCAAAATAATCAGTAGCCTTAAAGTAATTTTGGTAATCAGGAACATTAAAATTAAACAAAAACACAGGGACAAACTAGAATATGAGGCAACAAACTGATAAAAAAAAAAGTCCAGAATAAAACAGTCAAGATGTTATGTTCAGTAGTTGGGGAACAACGATATCTTTGGCTTGAGCAAAGTGAAAGTGGAATACCAGGCCAGTATAAACACACCCTTTAATCTAGTTATGTGTTCATTCAGAAAACAGCAGTAAATGTACTGTCTAAACCGGGGGTCAGCAACCTGTAGATTGCGATCTACAAGTAGATCATGGCCAGGTGACCCACCATCCCAGAGACTCAAACAGAGTGCAATGCAGAGGAACTACTTGTAAAGTTGGAGTAGGGAGCAAGAGCTGCATAAACCAATGCCTCCTCTGTAGTGCTGGCTCCTGTCCCATGCGGAGTGATACCAACTGCACTCCACCACTTATCCTGGCTAGTGGTATCCAGGTGCCAGCAGCAGGAAAGAAGATATCTTCAGGTCATTGTAAAGCAATACACTGGGCATAATAGTATAGGGCTGCTTTCACACTGATGTGATGCTGTTTACCCACACCACAGGTTCAATGCAGTGTACCTGCAGCTTTCCTGTGCTTAGCCGTAGACTTCTATTATATCTTGTGGGTTTGGTTCGCTTTCAGAAAGTGTACCACACCTGCAGGATATAATAGAAATCTATGGCAAACGCAGCTAACCCAGAAAAGTCACAGATGCACTGTGCTGTACCTGCGGTTCAGGTAAACGCAGCACATCAGTGTGAAAGCAGCCTTATAGGGGGCTCAGCACGGTAAGGGTTCATTTATATTTGCAGTTTGGGGGGTTTGTAAAACCCCATAGTTAAGATGTGTTTTTATCAGCCCCCCCCCCCCCCCCCCACCCCAACCATACCCCCTTTAGCTGCAGTGGCCAGAGGTATATGTTGCAGCCGTAGTAGGAGCTATATGCCCTGTCATGGTTGGTGGGTGTAGCACCTGCCAGCATGACCCATTCAAGTGAATGAGGCTGTTCTGCAAGTGCCCTGAAACCTTGTGCAATGCAGCAAACAAGGGGTTAAAGTAGGCAGCATTGTACTGCTTTCTCACCACTTGCTTTAACCTCTTGGACCCCCCAGAAGCATGCAGGTGCGGGGTGCTTGCAGAGTGGCCCCATTTACTTGAATGGGTTGTGACTGCCAGGCAGTAGCACCCACCAAAAGCAACAGGGGATTTAATTCCTGCTGCCACATGGGTAGAGCTTTGGCTGCTGCAACAGCAGCTAAAGGGGGTAGGAATTAGGGGCTGTAAAACCACCACTAAACCGCAGGGTTTTACCAGACCCCAACTTTATGTTTGAACGAGCCCTAAGGGTGCCGATGCCGAATATAACTAAGGGCTCATTCACAAGTGCAACAGGCACTGCTGCTCTTCTGAAAAGCGATATGAGTGTTTGATTGATGGTAAGGAGGCGATATGTTGCCTCCTCATCATCTAATTTAAACCTGATTGCCATGCAATGCACGCAATTGAGACACGATAGTATGACAATTGGAGGTTTAAGTCAGGTGGCAGGCGGTGACACTGTGCCCGGTGATGTTTGACTTCTCCCATGTTGTTCAGGTAGATCTCCACCTCTTTAGGGTTGTCAACCCCTGGTCTAAACACTAGCTTTAAATCTTCCTACAATCTGTAGCACATCAGAAAATGAGTCAAAGTGGCCAGAAACCCAAGCTGGGGGGATTCCACTTACCTAGACACTTTTGTAGCTTTTATAATGTACAAATGTTATATTCTAGTACTCATAAATACGTGTATTTTTGTTTAGAGTTGTTTTAAAGGCTCAAGGTGTTTACCTTAAAGTGTTAATAAACCCAAGACTGCATTCACTATATCTGGTCTCCCACAGTACACACAACATGGAAGTGCAATTATTTTAGTAAATATAAACAGCTAAAGACCTTTTCTCATCAGCAGTTAGAGCAGTCTTGTGACTTCTATCAGTGTCCTGCAGAGCACCGATTTAAGCTTGTAGGAGGAGTTTTCATTCTGGTGTAGGATGCAGGACCCTTGATCTCTGTCTGGACAGTGCTGATTGGCCCTGTGCTGATCACATGCCCTCTCCCAAGAAAAAACAAAACACTCTAGCAATACATACCAAACTGAGCATGTGCAGAGTGACTCAGCTATGAGGAATATAACTGGATACTAACATTTATAGGTAAAGTTGATCCAGGGAATATTCGATTGCCTCTCGGGGGATCAGGAAGGAATTATTTCCCTGGATCATGTTTTGCTGGGTTTTTTTCCTTCCTCTGGATCAACTGTGGGTATAGGATAACTTTTTTTTTTATGGTTGAACTTGATGGAGGTTTGTCTTTTTTCAGCCAGACTAACTATGTAACTATGACTAAGTATCTAAAAAACATTTTGGAAGGAATTCCACTTTACCAAACCAATTCTCTTTTAATTTTATTTCGGTTTAAACTGAGATAATATTTATAAAAAAAATATATATTTCTGTGGCACTCAACATGCAGTTCATAATCAGTAGATTTGTGCAAAGTTGCTTTCCAAATAAATGTGGGAACCAAAAAAAAAAAAATTTACTTTAAAGCGGAACTGTACCCAACAATTCAACGGTTTCCCAAAACAATTACACATTCAAGGTATGTCATGAATGAAAACTGTCACATTTACTTGTACTTGAAACCAAACTGTCAAGCCATCAAATGTCTGGTGCCATAACTGGTCACATGTACAGCATCATGGCAACTGCAGACCAAACAGAGGCCAAGATGGCGGCTTCACTGGAAAGAAGAGGAGGTGTTAGGCCGCTTTAACTTAAAGGTATTTCACAGTTAAATTTGAGTGTCATTAAAGGAATAGTTCACCTTCACCAAAGAACTGCCTATGCAGGGGTAAGGGGCATCCATGGATAAAAACAAACTGTGTGTCTCTGAATAAAGTTGAATAATGTCCTTGCTATAGGTGTAGGCCATTTATGTACCTCGTGAAGCCTGACTGGAATACTCCCAGAACATTGCTAAGATGTTGCAAAGTGAGGCCTAATCATTACTGCCCACCCCCACCATCACAGGAGGGGGCTTTTTCTCTTATTCAGACCCTCCCACATGATCTCTCTCCCCCCGGATGCAGTAGATCTGAGCTCAGCATCCGAGAACTCTCTCTTGTGACGTGGCGGTGGCAGGAATGACTAGGCCTCACTTAGCAACACCCTGGGAGTTTTCCAGTCAGGCTTCATGAGGTAAGTAAATGACCTACACCAGGGGTGTCAAACTGGCGGTCCTCCAGCTGTTGCGAAACTACAAGACCCATCATGCCGCAGCCTTTCTAAGTCATGCTTGTAACTGTCAATCTTGCAATGCCTCATGGGACTTGTAGTTTGGCAACAGCTGGAGGGTCACCAGTTTGACACCTGTGACCTACACCTATAACAAGGGGTATTATTGAAGTTTAGTCAGAGCTACACAGTTTGCTTTTATCTACAGACACCCCTTAGCTGCATAGGCAGTTTTTTTGGTGAACTAACCCTTTAGGAATAAACATGTTATCATCTACATCAATAAATCAAGTAGTTGTAAACTGCAGTGAGTGCCATGTAATGCTCTTGAAACTATATTGGGCAGCACAGTGGCTAAATGGTTAGCACTTCTGCCCGGCAGTACTAGGGTCGCTGGTTCAAATCCCAACCACAGCACCACCTACCTGGAGTTTGCATGTTCTCCCTGTGCCTGCGTGGGTTTGTCCGGGTACTCCAGTTTTCTCCCACGCTCCAAAGACATGCTGGTAGGTTAACTGGCTTCTCTCTAAATTGGCCTTAGTATGTATATGTATGAATGTGAGTTAGCGACCTTAGATTGTACACCCCTTGAGGGTTAGGGACTAATGTGACTGTACTATATATAAAGCGCTATGTAAATTGACAGCGCTATACAAGTAACTGTAATAAAAAATAAAATAAGACTGACAAAGTGGGGCTTCTACTTAGTAAATCATAAATACCTTTTGTTTTCGCTTCTCCTTCCGTTTGTCCTCTGTGTCTTGCAACATCTTCTCCTTCCATAAATCAAAGAAGTAGGATGGATTTGTGTAAAATTTTAGGCCTTCTTTACCGTCATCTCTATAGAAACAAAATATAGACAAAATATGTAAATATTCAAAAGTCTTACCAATTGCAATAATGTTTTATATTAACCACTTGCCTACCAGGCACTTATACCCCCTTCTTTACCAGGCCAATTTTCAGCTTTCAGCGCTGCCGCAATTTGATTGACAATTGCGTGGTCATGCAAGATTGTACCCATATGAAATTTTTTTATCATTTTTTTTTCATAAATAGAGCTTTCTTTTGGTGGTATTTACTCGCCACTGGGTGTTTTACTTTTTGCGCTATAAACAAAAATTGCAAAAAATTAAAAAAAAAAAAAAAAAGAAGTTTCTTTGTTTCGATTATAAAATTTTGCAAACAGGTAATTTTTCTCCTGCACTGTATGTGCATTGATGAGGCAGCACTGATGGGCACTGATAGGCAGCACTGATGGGCATTGATAGGCGGCACTGACAGGCAGCACTAATGAGGTGCCACGGATAGGCGGCACTGATACGTGGCACTGATAGGTGGCACTGACTGGCATCACTGCTGGGCACTGCTAGGCATTGACTGGCGGCACTGTTAGGCATTGACTGGCGCAACTGCTGGGCACTGACTGGCACAACCACCGGGCACTGACTGGCATCACTGATGAGTTGCACTGATGGGTGGCACTGGTGGGCACAGGTAGGTGGCACTAGTGGGCACAGGTGGGTGGGCACTGGTGGGTGGCACTGCTGGGTACAGGTAGGTGGCACTTCTGGGTGGCACTGGTGGGCACAGGTGTGTGGCACTGGTGGGCACAGGTGGTTGCACTGCTGGGCACAAGTGGGCGGAACTGGTGGTTGGCACTGCTGGGCACCGATCATCTGGGCACTGATCATCAGTGCCCTGATGATTGGTGCCGATCCCTGCTCTAACAACTGCCGGTTCTCGGCAGTACTTTCCTCATGATCTGACAGCGTGCAGCCGAGAATCGGCAATTGCATTTCCCTGTGATCAGCGTGTCATTGGACACGGCTGATCACGTGGTAAAAGGCCGCTGTGATTGGTCTTTTGCCACATCACGTGATCAGCTGTGTCCGTAGGACACAGCAATCACGGAGATCGTTGGGGGCGCGTTCTGGGAGGACATCATATGACGCCCTCCCAGAACTGGCCAGCCGCAGTGTAGCCGTCATTCGGCTATCTGCGGTCGGCAACTGGTTAAAGGTACTATCAAACAATATATTTCTGACCCAAAACTAGCTTCACAAAGCATTATCAGGCCAGCCAGACAACTGACTATGCTAAGGCTAGTTATGAACTGGGGGGGGTTTGCCATCTTTTTGTATAGCTTGTTCTCTGATTTGGTGTTGGGACACATTTGATGCCTTCAGCTGCCATTGTTCTCTTGCTGGGCGTCCAATATGTCCCTCTGCTTTTAAGGATGAGTGGATTCCCTCCAAGCACACTTGCCCTTAATTTATCCATCGCTATATATGGTCCAACTTAGAAACTCTCAAAACTATAGAGTTAGGACCGCTATATACAGAGCAGCCTTGATTTGGGCACTGCAGCTTCCACATATACTGTGTTTGCAAATTTGTGCAATGAAACCCTTTGTTTTAACATGAATTGTTAGACAGGGTCAATTTGGTTTGTTTGCAAGCTAGCTGGTAAATGTTCTGGGAAATGTTTGTTTTTCTGTGATGTGCGTTGCCCTTCCTTACTGCAAAGGCTATTTATAAATTGGGGTGGGTGCCATCTTTTTGTATAACAACACACCAAAATACATGGAAATTAGATGAAAATAATCAAACAGCTTTTTAGTTGCAGACCTGTGATTTAACGAGCAGAGGACATATTTTTATCAGGATTGAAGTCAGGAGATACAAGACATTTACATTTATTATAGATGTGCTTTAATACAGTTTAGCTTAGATGCCGGTAACATTATGGAATGGCCCTTTAACTGAAAGCAATGAGATTTCGGTATGGATGGTGGCAAGTAATTCTGTACTGACTCAAAGTTATATGCAGTCTTTAGAACTTCAACACTGTGCACACTTAAGAATGGAGTAAAATTATAATGAAGATGAAGTGATATAAAAAAAAAAAAAAAAAAAAAACAAGACTTTACTAAGAAACATGTTATACTTACCTGCGCTGTGCAGTGGTTTTGCACAGAGCAACCCGGATCCTCCTCCCCTGCCGACACTCCTGGCCCTGTTGGGTGCCCCCAAAGCAAGCAGCTTGCTATGAGGGCACCCGAGCAGGCGCGCTCCCAAGCCGTGGTTCTGTATGTCCATTCACACACAGAGCCATGGCTCGGCCTTGCCCCACTCTCTCTCCTGATTGGCTCACTCTCTGTGATTGACAGCAGTGGGATCCAATCAGGAGTAAGAGTCCCCTGGAGAACTGAGACTCCCGTGCACATCACTGGATAGGGATGGGACTTAGGTAAGTGTTGGGGGGGGGGGGGGCTGCCGCACACAATAGGTTTTTCACTTTCATGCATACAATGCATGAAGGTAAAAAACCTTGAGCCTTTACAACCACTTTAAGAGTTTTTTTGAATATACAATCAACTATCTTTCAAAAGACAAACTTCCTAGAATTTTAACTATATGCAGTACAATCAAACGCAGATTTCAAAAAGGAATCTGTTAATCCTCTTGAGCACATATTGGATAAGATGAAAGACTCCTGGCATCAATCTACACATTAAAAAGGAGGGAGAGGAGGATTCCTAGGATGGCAGTTTAACCTAACACTTGAGCAGAATGTTCGCAGTACAGAGCATTATTTTAATTGGCATGTTGAAATAATGGGCATAAACGTGTGACATCTGTGGTACAGTATGTCCTCTCTGCATCAACTAAGCTGCAAGTTCAAAGACAATTTAGAGAGGAGACAAATGTTTGGGAGAGTCTGCATTGCTCTGCACTCTATTAGATTCAAACTCATATTCAAACACAATCTGGCTTATTGCTTTGAGACAACACAGATTGTGTCACACTAACAAATCTATACTTCGTCCATTAAAATGGCGTTTTTTAACAACTGTTACAATATACACAATTCATAACAAAAAAAAAAAAAAAAAAAAAAGTAAAACCCTGGACATGGAATAGGTTGTAAGACTGCAAGTTAGTAGTTTTTATTAGGGGAATTTAACATTAACTCGAAAAATTAGAATATCGTGCAAAAGTTAATTTATTTCAGTAATGCAACTTAAAAGGTGAAACTAATATATGAGATAGACTCATTACATGCAAAGCAAGATAGTTCAAACCGTGATTTGTCATAATTGTGATGATTATGGCTTACAGCTCATGAAAACCCCAAATCCACAATCTCATAAAATGAGAATATTGTGAAAAGGTGCAATATTCTCGGCTCAAAGTGTCCCACTCTAATCACTAATTAAGCCATAACACCTGCAAAGGGTTCCTGAGCCTTTAAATGGTCTCTCAGTCTGGTGCAGGAGGAATCACAATATTGGGAAAGACTGCTGACCTGACACCATCATTGGCACCCTCTATAAGGAGGGAAAGCCTCAAAAGGTAATTGCAAAAGAAGTTGGATGTTCCCAAAGTGCTGTATCAAAGCACATTAATAGAAAGTTATGTGGAAGGGAAAAGTGTGGAAGAAAAAGGTTCACAAGCAGCAGGGATGACCACAGCCTGGAGAGGATTGTCAGGAAAAGGCCATTCAAAAGTGTTGGGGACTTTTACAAGGAGTGGACTAAGGCTGGAGTCAGTGCATCAAGAGTCACCACACACAGATGGATCCTGGACATGGGCTTCAAATGTCATATTCCTCTTGTCAAGCCGTTCCTGAACAAGAAACAATGCCAGAAGCATCTTACCTGGGCTAAAAAAAAACAGACCTGGTCTATTGCTCAGTGGTCCAAAGTCCTCTTTTCTGATGAGAGCAACTTTGTATCTCATTTGGAAACCAAGGACCCAGAGTATGGAGGAAGAATGGAGAGGCACACACTGCAAGATGCTTGAAGTCCAGTGTGAAGTTTCCACAGTCTGTGTTAATTTGGGGAACCATGTCATCTGCTGGTGTTGGTCCACTGTGCTTCATTAAGTCCAGGGTCAATGCAGCCGTCTACCAGGAGATTTTGGAGCACTTCATGCTTCTTTCCACAGACGAGCTTTATGGGGACGCTGACTTCATTTTCCAGCAGGACTTGGCACCTGCCCACACTGCCAAAAGCACCAAAACCTGGTTCAAAGACCGTGGCATTACTGTGCTTGATTGGCCAGCAAACTCGCCTGACCTGAACCCCATAGAGAATCTATGGGGCATTGCCAAGATAAAGATGAGAGACATGAGACCAAACAATGCAGAAGAGCTGAAGGCCGCTATTGAAGCATCCTGGTCTTCCATAACACCTCAGCAGTGCCACAGGCTGATAGCTTCCATGCCACGCCGCATTGAGGCAGTAATTGCTGCAAAAGGGGCCCAAACCAAGTACTGAGTACATATGCATGTTTATACTTTTTAGAGGTCCAATGTTGTTCTATGTACAATCCTTGTTTTATTGATTGCATGTAATATTCTAATTTTCTGAGATTGTGGATTTGGGGTTTTCATGAGCTGTAAGTCATAATCATCACAATTATGACAAATCACGGCTTGAACTATCTTGCTTTGCATGTAATGAGTCTATCTCATATATTAGTTTCACCTTTTAAGTTGCATTACTGAAATAAATGAACTTTTGCACGATATTCTAATTTTTTCGAGTTTCACCTGTACATGGGAAGACTGTCAGACAAGTTAAAGAGGTTGTAAAGGCTTTTATTTCCTTTTTATTATTAAAATAAAAAATAAGTTTATACTTACCTGATCTGTGCAATAGTATTGTGCAGAGTGGCCCTGGTCCTCCTCATCTGGGGTCCCCTGCTGGTGCTCTAGGCTCCTCCTCTTCTCCGTGTGCCACTATAGAAATCCTCTTCCTATGGGGGAACATGTGGAGGTGTGTTCCCGAGCCAGGCTGTGCAAATCCACAGACACACACAGTGTGGCTCATCAGTGAGGAGAGCTCTGACAGCGGACTGGAGGGAAGGGACACAACCCCCCTTCACACAGCACGCAGGAACAGGCAGGAACAGAGCTGAGGCTGTCAATCACAGGCTGTTCCCTCCATTGTCACGTTATTTCAATCGGTGTCAGGAAAGCTTGTCAGATGTAACTCATGCTTATAGCAAAGGAATGAAGCAGTGGACAGAAATGACACTTAGTGCTCTGGTGTGGAGACAAGTACACACTATAGAGGGATATGCTCTGTTAATATTTCATGTCTGAGGTTTACAACCACTTTAAAAGGAACTGTTATGTGTACTTAGAGTGCACTGTTAAGTTACTTTTTTTAAACCCAAACTCCTTGCATTCTTGCAGTTGGGCCGCTGGTCTCAACTTACCCAATGAGTTGCGGGAGACAAGTCACAACCTTGGAGGGACCCTGATTGGACGAGCAATAGGGTATTTTTCCTTTATCCGTACACATAATGAGCTTTTAAAGTAGTTTCCAAAGGTAAAACCTTTTTTTACTTTAACGCATTTTCTGCACTAAAGTAAAAAAAAAGGTTTTACCATTTGTTCTCCCCTTTCCCTAAACACTTACCTGATGTATCGAGCACTGTGCCCGGAAGCAGTTGTTTCTCTCTCTCCGCATTCACAGGCGCAAAGGCATCAGGGGGAGCCATTGGCTCTTGATGTTGTCAATCAAAGCCTGCTAGAAGGGAGCAGGGGGTGGGGTCAAGCCATGCTTTGTCAATGGACAAACACAGCCCAGTTCGAGAGTGAGCCTGCAGGTGCGTCCCCATAGGAAGTGGATTCCTATGGAGGTGCACCAAGAGAAGGAGCCAAGAGTGACAGCGGGGAAGCCCATAAAAAGGTGGTTTGGGGTAGCTCTGTGCAATAGAATTGCACAGATCAGGTAAGTCCAACATGTTTGTTATTTTAATAAAAAAAAAAAACATACGAGCCTTTACATCCACTTTAACCCTTGCAGTGGGGGGGAGCCCACTGCAAGGATACATTTTTTTATATTCATGGAGTTGGAGTTTAAAGTGACACTAAACTACATCCTTATGCTCCAAAAAAATCTACACGCATGCACTACCTAATGGGCATGTAATCTATTTTTCATGAAAATTTTCCATACAGTGTTTTTCTGCCCTCCTAATGTCTTCTCTGAGCTCCTGAACCTCTCCTTTTCAGCTCAATTCCATGTTTTTGGAATGAGAAGTGCACAATAGCTGCGGTCATGTGCACGGTTCTACACATACTACAAATCTCATAGTCTGTAGTCCTCAGGAGTGAGCATGAGAGGGTGGCTAGATTCCGACATACAGTGGCACCATGGAGAACAAATGTAGCCACCCTCTAAGTCAGATCAAAGTACCAAAAAGAAATAGCAATTTGGAGATTTGGAGGAGGCTGAAAGCAATAGAAGGGACTTTTCTGAGTTAAGAATGCATACTTGAATAGAATTTTTTTTAAAATACACTAGAATTTAATGTCACTTTAGGTTTACAGACCTGAACACTGATGTACAGATATTTTTAATAACTGATATGACATCTCTATTTTGCAAGTAATTATTGACAAAGCATGTCCGTGTGATTTTCAGCAGCCTGTGTAAATGTACTAGTTGTCATCTCTGCAGGTTTATTTTGTAATTCAAATGAATTATCCGTGCTTATGGACCAATACTAGACTTAAAAGTAGCCACCTGCCACTCCTTTTTATAACTAATAGAGATATAAATTAAAATACCAAAAATGTATAGCATGGCGCTACTCAAAAACCTTACTTTATCCCCAATATCTCTAAGATGTGTGCTATTTGTAAATAAACAAATAAATAAATCCAAAAATGTGTCAACAATCCTATGTGTACTATAGGACACCTCTCGTTGAGCGTCCTCTGGAATGAACATACCAATAAACTATATATACATATACAGTGGGGCAAAAAAGTATTTAGTCAGCCACAATTGTGCAAGTTCTCCCACTTAAAAAGATGAGAGAGGCCTGTAATTGGCATCATAGGTAGACCTCAACTATGAGAGACAAAATGAGAAAAAAAATCCAGACAATCACATTGGCTGATTTGGAAAGAATTTATTTGCAAATTATAGTGGAAAATAAGTATTTGGTCAATATCAAAAGTTCATCTCAATACTTTGTTATATATCCTTTGTTGGCAATGACAGAGGTCAAACGTTTCCTGTAAGTCTTCACAAGGTTGGCACACACTGTTGCTGGTATGTTGGCCCATTCCTAAATGCAGATCTCCTCTAGAGCAGTGATGTTTTGGGGCTGTTGCTGGGCAACACGGACTTTCAACTCCCTCCAAAGGTTTTCTATGGGGTTGAGATCTGGAGACTGGCTAGACACTCCAGGACCTTGAAATACTTCTTACAAAGCCACTCCTTCGTTGCCCGGGCGGTATGTTTGATATCATTGTCATGTTGGAAGACCCAGCCACGTTTCATCTTCAATGCCCTTGCTGATGGAAGGAGGTTTGCACTCAAAATCTCACGATACATGGCCCCATTCATTCTGTCCTGTACATGGATCAGTCGTCCTGGTCCCTTTGCGGAGAAACGACCCCAAAGCATGATGTTGCCACCCCCATGCTTCACAGTAGGTATGGTGTTCTTTGGATGCAACTCAGCATTCTCTCTCCTCCAAACACGAGGAGTTGTGTTTCTACCAAACAGTTCTATTTTGGTTTCATCTGACCATATGACATTCTCCCAATCCTCTTCTGGATCATCCAAATGCTCTCTAGCAAACTTCAGACGGGCCCGGACATGTACTGGCTTAAGCAGGGGACACGTCTGGCACTGCAGGATCTGAGTCCCTGGCGGCGTAGTGTGTTACTGATGGTAGCCTTTGTTACGTTGGTCCCAGCTCTCTGTAGGTCATTCACTAGGTCCCCCCGTGTGGTCGTGGGATTTTTGCTCACCGTTCTTGTGATCATTTTGACCCCACGGATTGAGATCTTGCATGGAGCCCCAGATCGAGGGAGATTATCAGTGGTCTTGTATGTCTTCCATTTTCTAATTATTGCTCCCACAGTTGATTTGTTCACACCAAGCTGCTTGCCTATTGCAGATTCAGTCTTCCCAGCCTGGTGCAGGTCTACAATTTTGTTTTTGGTGTCCTTCGACAGCTCTTTGGTCATCACCATAGTGGAGTTTGGAGTGTGACTGTTTGAGGTTGTGGACAGATGTCTTGTATACTGATAACAAGTTCAAACAGGTGTCATTGATACAGGTAATGAGTGCAGGACAGAGAGCCTCTTAAAGAAGAAGGTACGTGAGAGCCAGAAATCTTGCTCGTTTGTAGGTGACCAAATACTTATTTTCCACCATAATTTGCAAATACATTTTTTCCAAATCAGCCAATGTGATTGTCTGGATTTTTTTTCTCATTTTGTCTCTCATAGTTGAGGTCTACCTATGATGCCAATTACAGGCCTCTCTCATCTTTTTAAGTGGGAGAACTTGCACAATTAGTGGCTGACTAAATACTTTTTTGCCCCACTATATATACACACACATATACATACATATACCCGCAGCACCATCTATTAAATAGCACTTTATGTGGACATATGGATTACACATATATAGTTTCTTTTGCACAAATCATGTTATATGATATATATATATATATATATTTTTTTTTTTTTTTTTTAATTATTATTTTTTTAATGGTTTATTTTTGTATACATTTTTTGATTTTATTTATTCGCTTATTTACAAATAGCACACATCTTAGTGATATTGGGGATAAATAAGGTTTTTGAGTAGTGCCACACTATATATTTTTGGTTATTTTGTAAATCATCAACTGATATGTGAGAGGTCCTGCTCCTCCACAGAGCATCAATCGGCTTGATGTAACACAAAATGTTACTATGCAATATTTCTTAGATTCCCAATTAAATTAAAAAGTCAAAAAATATACTTTTATGCTATTAAATATAGTCAAATTCAATTACAAAATGCAAAAAATATATGTTCCTCTGCAAAGGAATGCAAAATTAGGTAGATTTACTAAACCTGGATCACTCAGAATCTGGTGCAGCTTTGCATGGTAGCTAATCAGCTTCCAATTTCAGCTTGTTCAATTAAGCTTTGGCAATAAAACCTGGAAGCTGATTGGTTTCTAGGCAGAGCTACACCAGATTTTGCACGCTGAAGTTTTTGTAAATAACCCCCTGTATTTTGGGGCCTTTGGCTGGAAACAAGACTTAAGTAAAAACAAAAACATGTCTACTGTTTATGTGGGGATTGGTTTAAACATACATACCTGTAGGGTGTTAGGATGTCAAGAGGTGGTGGATGTTCACACAACTCATAGGTTTCATGAAGTGGAATTGGCAAGGTTTTGCGGTCAAACAGCTGCTGATCCTGATGGTAGAACTTCTAAAAGCTTTCCTCATTGTAATGTCCTGCAGTGAGACTGAAACACAAATACAAACAAACAATTGAACATGAACATGTATGTGGTAAATTGATTGTTTCAGATAGTACTTTTTAAAACAATCTTTTAGAAGACAAAATATATATGTGCGTTAACAGCATGGAGCTCAGGTAGGAGAGCTTGAAAATTCAATACGAAGTGTAAAAATAATGACAAAAAAAAAAGTAATCTCAAGGAAGCAAGACTGCACTATAATAGCAAATTAGGAGCGAGGGACCAGATTATTATAAATGCTTGGTGTCTGGTTCTCTTTAAAACAAAACTGTCAGGATAAAAATAGAATTTCACTGCTGACTTGCTTTTGGAAGGTGCAGGCTATTTAGTCATGACTTAGGAATACGCATGTGCATCTCACATATCCTGACATGCACAAATGCACATGCATGTTCTGAGTCTGTGACTCAATAGGAAGTAAAACAAGAAGAAAAAAAAAAGATTCCCTTTTGCAAGCTTGTTCAGAAACAAGTCAGCAATTGCAGCTCCTACATTTCTATTTTGACAGATTCCTAAAAGTCTGTTTCTGAGTTGCCAGTATGTGGTTCTGTCATTGCTCCCACGCTATTCAGCCGTTTTAGCCTGTAGCTTATGACCCAATTTTCTGTGCTGCAATTATTTTTTTTCTACTATATCAAAGCCCCATCACTGTCACCACATCTGAACTTTATTTGATCGCCTAGACAACTTTAGAGAGTATGCTACTGCATTGGAGAATCGCATTAGCAACCTGGAGGGTGTTGCTACTTTCCTACAAGCTGATGCTAGACTTGCATTGCAGAAGGCCACAGTTACAGCCATGGACACTTTTGTTTGTAACCCTACAGCCCATTGGAACAATGCTTCATTCCTCCTTAAGCATGATGAAATTTAAGTGTTACTAAACGCAGGACCCTGCATTCACTATATCCAGTCTTCCACAGTACACAGAACATGCAATTATTTTAGTAAACAAACTACTAAATACCGTTTCTCATCAGCACTATATAGCAGTCTGTGACTTCTGAGTCCAGCTGTACACTGGTTAATCTTTTAGGAGGAGTTTTCATTCTCCTCTGACTGTCCTATGAGGCTGCATGACCCTTGGCCCTCTGTCTTGACAGTGCTGATTGGCCCTGTGCCAAATCACATGCACCCTCCCAAAAAAAAAACAAAAAACAAAAATCTCTAGTAATACACACCAAACACAGCATGTGCAGACTTGCCACTGCTGCTCTGTAATATGGCAGATGGATTGGAAACAGTAAAAGAAGGGGAGGATCAAAGAAGACCGGATCAAAAAGCCTTTTTACACAATGTGTTGGATTAATCCCTTAGGTTCCACAGTGAGTATAACTAGCATGCTTTCCTGCATATGCAAACTGATTTTACTGTTGTGGGTTTAGTAACACTTTAAAAGCAAACATATACCTTCATTCCTTTGGTATATTATAGAGTATAGAAAGGAAAGTGTAGAATAAGCAATACTTTATCTCTTTTCGCAAAAAATCATGTAAAATGGCCCAAATAGATTTGTTGGTATCCATAAGGTTCCAAAATGTTTTCTGTAATTAGCACTGCACACATCTTTAATTGTGCAATCAAGTAGCCTATTTACATGGATAAAAGTAGTCAGTATGTTTGGTATTATCTTGTGTAACACACTGAACATAGAGCAGAGAAAGCAAAGGAGAGCGTCGTCTGAGGAAATAAGAAAATTGTCCAGATCACACCAGACTGTCAAAAGGTAAAGGCTAAACGTCCTTCTCCAACCAGCTTGAGGTTTCTGTGACTATATTTACAAATGTTAATAGAAGTTTAAGGTCCATGGGAGTGTAGCCAACTTTACAAGATATGGCTACAGAAGGAAATTTGACCATAGACTGAACAGAAGGATAATGCAAATGGTAAACAAACAGCCAAGGAAAACTTTCAAAGTGATACAAGCTAAATTACAAGGTCAAGGTACATCAGGGGGGTGAGCGCAATCTGGTGTGTTAAAAAGTATCCTGTGTTAAAAAGTATTGTTCTCTTTGTACTTCTTCTTTTTTGTGAAATACCTGGGGATCCAGTCAATCCCCCTGGTTTCCTATTCCAAACTGATCACACTTGACATCCTTTCAGAGGGTGGTCAGTTTTCTGGCTGTGCTGGGAGCTCTGATGAAGAGGGGTCTGCCCTTGAAACTCGTAAGCCTCGCTCCCTGCGTACGGGTAACCACTTGTGGATTGCAATTGATGGATCATTTATGTGCCTGATTATACTTAAGTTTGTGAATATATTGGAATATTTTATTTTGAATAAAATGGTTTATGGTTATGGATGAGGCAGGTGTGCTCTCTTTTGTGTTATTTTTATGGAAGCACGGCCTGCCTGTCCTCCAATGGCCAAGACTTGTGCTGACACACACCCCTGCACAGTTATTCACTGGGAAGATCAGTGTATCGCTATTTCTCTGCCTCTGTTGATACACCTCCCTGCAGTCTCCACCCATAGCTGTTCTGCAACTGAGAACAGAGCTTATGTGAACGCAAAAAAAAAATATATATATATGTTTTTATATACACACACGTTTGGCCTTGCATTTCTATTTTAAATGGATTGTTTTACAGGCTTTAAATAAAGAAATCTCAGGAATAATAAAGAATCCTGTAGCAAAATGTACAGCTGAGTGTCTAAATAATTTGTGTCAGTCACAGGTCCTCCAACAGAATAATGACCCAAAACAAACAATTAAAAGCAGCCAACAATGGCTAAGAATAAATCACTGAACTATTCTAAAGTACCTCTCTATGAGCCTTGATCTGAATCCTATGGAAAGAGCTGAAACATGCAGTCTTTGGAAGACATCCTTCAAACCTGAGACAGCTTGAGTAGTGTGCTCAAGAAGAATGGCTCAAACTATTGTTGGCAGGTACAGAAGTCTCACTGAGAGCTACATAAATAGCCTGTTTGCAGTGATTACCTTCAAAGGTTGGGCAAAATATTAGGTTAGGGAAGCTATTACTTTTGTCCATGCCATTCTCATTTGTTTTATTATTTAAAATATTCTGTTAAATCAAAAGCAAAGTCTGTTGTATTTTTTTTTAATTTAAAGTGAAACTGCACTGCATCTGAACACCACAAACCAAAAATGCTATTTCATTCATTGTTAATATTCAAAGCAAACTCAGCCATCCATACATGTCTCCATGCTTTATCTTGCTGAGAAATTATTTTGAAAAATACCCCCTGGCATTTCTGGCAGTGGCCATCTTGAGTAAGGGCAGATTATTCATGTAACATTTACTTCCTGGAATCCATATGCCCTTAGCTCATGCATTGGCTGTGCTGAAAACCCTCCCTGCCATCCTGAAGACTACTGGGATGTATGACATCATTTGCCTAGGCAGGAAACCAGGAAGTAACTGAGAAATGCAAAAAAAAAAAAAAAAATAATAATTTAAACAAGTAAATATGATACACTTTCCTATCTATATACTAATGCTAGCAGCATAAGGATTAAAAATAGTCAATGTTGATTAAGAGAGTGAAGTTCCACTTTAATTTGCAACAATGATGGATGACAATTATTTTGTCAATTTAAAGTTTAATTTAGAGAAAATGGTGGGTTATTTTTATGGAAGGGTACTAACATACTGTATATGTTCATGGTTGTAATTCCTTAAAATCTGAGGACTTTAAAAACAGCCCATGGCTCAATAATATCATAGTCGTCGGCATCCTTGAACATACAAACAGGAGCAATGCTACAGAATATATGAATAATGGATAGGGATTAGGGATAAAGGTAAAGACCCCTCTACCCCATTTTTGCAGTAGAATACAACCCTTACTCATGGATATTCACTGAGACCTCTTTTAATCCCTTTACAGAGTTATAGAAATTGGGATCAAATGTTCGCAAAGCACATCAGCTCAGGGAGTCATTGTTGGTCAGTTTTAAAGTGATGCTTTTTCCTGATTTTTCACAAGCAGTCCCTAAAAAGAGAGCCAAAACTAAAGAAGTTAAAAAGCAACTCCACCTTCAATAACCCATGCTGTATCCAGCTAGACTGTGTGTGGTTGCTGATGAAGAGACTCGCTTCTTTGATGAACTCTCATCAATGGCTTGATCAACAGTCTAGACAACCGAGTAAACCTTAAAGATTTACTCACTACTTGGGATGAGAGTCCACTCCATTATCATTTTACAAACAAAAGCTGTTTGGAAACTAAAGCAGAACTAGATTGTGTTATGATAGCTTACAATACCCCAAAGATCTAGGAGGTTTGCCCACCCCCAATCCCTGGCTATATTTTATTGCATCTCAACTTTAACATACAGTATGATTAGATGGGGTTGGGCAGGTTATACACTTTTTTTTTTAACACTTATATTTATTTTGAAGCACAAACCCATTACATTCACAGGAAACCTAGAAATAAGTGAAAACTCCCTTCCAATTCCCAACTCTATGATTAATTGGAAAAATCTGTGAATCTGCAAAACATGTATTGGATATTAGGGGTTTCAGTAAAAAGACCTCTCTCTGGGCAAATCTTTCAGAAATTCTCAAACTTCAGGGCTTTTAAGAAAATGGAAGGACATCAATATTCTTGCTATTTCTCAATCATAGTCAGCTCCAAATCAGCCAATCTGTTCCAACATCTACAGCTGCTTCATTTTCTACACGCTCATTCAGGGGCTTACTAGCATGAAGGTTGCCCCTAACCCACTCTTTGATGAGTTGGTTAGGACTACTAGCATGAAGGGATTGATCTCCCTATTCTAAACATACAGTTGTGTTCAAAATAATAGCAGTGTGTTGAAAAAAGTGAATAAAGCTCAAAATCCTTCTAATAGCTTTTATTTCCATACACACAAATGCATTGGGAACACTACACATTCTATTCCAAATCAAAACATGAAGAAAAATATATTACGTTTGTGTTGTTCCTCTAAAAAAAATGGAAGAAAAGTGAATATTTAGACTGTTCAAAAAAATAGCAGTGTTTGTATTCTTCTTTACAAACTCAAACATTCACTATATAAACTGAAAAATGTTTGAAGATTTTGCTTTCCTTTGAATCACTTAATGAATATTTAGTTGTATAAG